AACTTGGCTACGGCCGGCCTTAAAGCAGATAAAAGAATATCAGAAAAACAACAAAAGCGAGAAGAACGTGGGGGCGCGGGAGGGTAGAAGAGGTAACGAAGCCCCAGTTAGTCACCGGCGGCGGCGGCGGCGGCGGCGATCGGCGCAAATGAAAAGCAAAGAGAAGCCCCCGCGGCACACAGCCACCCAGCTATTCTTCATTTGCAGCGCGTCAGAGCCGGGACAAGCTCGTAAAGCAAAACGTCAAGTCGCCCCTTGTGACCGCGCGAGGCGATTATATGCTTGGAAGACAACGACTCCCGGGGCCTCGGTGACATCCACGACCAACAACGCACCCGCGGCCTCCTTTGGTCCTGCGTTCACAGGTGCCTCAGCCTCGTTTCTCACAGCGAAAACCTCCTGCATTTTCTTTCGAATCGCTGCTCTCTCTCTCTCTCTCTCTCTCTCTCTCTCTCTCTCTCTGTCTCGCCGTGACACGAGGATCGCTTGTCCAAAACAGACAGACGATCATCTGGATTGGATTACTTGAATTTCCGGTGCACATCGTCAGCCGCCAAGCTGCTTCTCGACTGATTTGGTTTGCTTATTTTCAAGCGGGATGGGCCGCCGCCGACCTTTTTTTTCAATCTTTGGGGCTGAGCTCTCCTTTTGGGCTTGAATTGTCGGAGCTGGAGATAAGAAAGCTCGCGGATTTGCAATTCAGCTAGTAATAAAAGTAAATTATTCATATGGATTTAATTAAATGGAAAATCATCATGCCTAGTAATTTAAAGTATTGCGTAAGATGAGTAAACAGTTATTAATTTTGCACTGTTTGGATAGTAAATATGAATATATTTGACTGTACGTAACGTTTTACGCTTTAACGCCTTAACGCCTTAACTTTGTATAACTATGCATATTTTTATGGCATACGTATGTAAAACGGTCTTACGTATTGTCTTATTTTTCATTATTTTACCAATGAGTAAAGAATGACCATCATTCATGGATATTTAATGGTGCTATTAGTTGGAAATATCTATTTGTTTTTGTCGAATTGTATAATTTAAATATGTCATTTTTAAATTATACGAGTATTCTTTTAATGGTATAATTATGGTATATTGGCATGTTCCGGTAATTATCGGATCTTTTAAGACTCATAAAGCTTATAGAAATATTATTTTTAACCATATGTACGTGGTACATTATTTGATATATTAGATGCTGGAGGTATATGAGAAATAATAATTTACTCGGAAATTGACGGTAAACTTAATTTTCCATTTAGCTAGAATCGAGAAGCCTGACGCAAGATGTTACGTTAACAACAACTGTTCTCATATTGCACGAAAGATGACATATGCAGCACCAAGTCATCTTATATTGCACTCAGTTGTACGGTATGTACATACTGGAAGTGTGCCTAAAACTTAAAATAGAAAGACAGAAATGAAAAATCAGACGCTAACGGAGAAAAATTTATAAGTGTCTTGGGCCAGTAGTGATTGGAAAAGTTATAACACAAATTTAAGATTATAAGATAAGATTGCAAGTGTTTTAAATTATCAAAATTTTAATTAAAAAACATTGAGAGCGTAATAATATTTTAATGATTATTTTTTTTTTTTATAATAATATCGGGTATTTGAAGTAAGTCGAAAGGTTCGTGTAATTATCCGATATACATTTTTTTTATTAATTTATACAAATATATTAAGTAGTACAAAATTCGATGGAAAAAGTTACAATGTCGTTCGTACATGATACTCAATAAATTGACACCTTATCTTCATTAATTACCATAATTTATTGTATGTGCTGATTATTATTATTATTATTTCTCTTAAAATGTTTACATTTAACATGAGTGATCGTAATACGAATAGTTTCGAATAATTAGCAAAGGATAAAGAAAATCATGGCCATGAAGATTTGTTGAGAATTTTTTCTTTTCATTCTTTATGCATTGAAACAAATAATTTACAATCAATGCAATATACAGTAGATCGGTATAATATGAACAATTGCTGAAAACTATCAATCCAGTGTAAAGAATCGAATTCCATCGTGGATCAGTTACCCCGAGGCCTGCAAGTATAAAGAAACCCAGACACTTGGGAGCGCGTCAGAAGTATCAAGAGTGTGTGTGTGTGTGTGTGAGAGAGAGAGAGAGAGAACGAGAACGAGTGAGAGTGAGAGAGTGCGACACTTTGATGAGGGTGGAGGAGAGGGGTCGAGACGGACAAAGTGGAAGAAGACAGAAGGTGCACACGTGATGACTATTACGGTGGTAGCCACGCGCGTACCAAAAGCCGGATTTCCGAAACCAAACTCCAAATGCATACGAAGGTATTTTTCGTGTGTTGCTGACCGCAAATACAACGTGACGCTGGAATATGTGTAATTTGCACGATCGAGGTCGTCGTTAGTACTATTGAATCGTAAACGTGCGTATGCGCAAGCGCGTCAGCACTGGGAATTTCATTAATTCGCCGGAAGTTATGCGAGGTGCAGTTTGTATATGTATGCGTGCCTGTGCGATCGCACGCGCGCTCAAGAGATGAAGAGGGATGAAGAGAGAGAGAGAGAGAGAGAGAGAGTATTCGGCTCAGGCTGTCCTGTGCATTCGCGAAACGAACCTTTTGCAACGAGCAGAATGCCTTAGCCGCTAGGGAAATATCTTTCATAACTGACGTCCAGAGGTATCGCTTCCAAACTACAATTCTATTTAAACTGAGAATATTGTATCCGAAGGATAAAACGCTGATTGTGAACGTGATAATGATTTTTCTCGAATTTACAGGTGATTGGCACGTTCATTCGGTCTGCAAGAGGGGGCTGAATATTTCCGATAAATTTTCAATTAAAGAAATTTCGAGCCTATGGTGTCTTTCTCATTCAAACCGAGTTCCATCAATTCGAATAATTATCCATAGCACCAAACCTTTGATATTTAAAATGTCTAGTAGTTATATTTCCTTCAGTTCCTGCTAGCAACTTTAATACGTTACAAGCATGAACTGGCTATTTTTGCACTGGGAAAAGGTAAGGCAGGAGTTCCGCGCTTCCAGAATAGTGACATTGTTTTACTTGGCAAGTATAAGAACATGCCAGGGAGCAAAGTATATTTATAACTTGGGCTGAGTTTACTCAATTTAATTTTCCATCTGATCCAAAAATTCAAAAATATTAATCTTCGCGTATGTATTTTTCGATAAGTGAAACTAAAAATGGGAATGAGCTTCATCAAAGAGAAAATTGCATTTTAAAAATAGGTAAATCGACGTATTGACCTATCACTGCACCAATTCCATACACATATAGTTAGTTATATACTAATGAGCCCGACATAAACGAATATAAGCAGTGCTAGTACGTAGGCTGATAAATAATGATCTACCAAGGCTAATTAAATGTTAAGTTATTTTTGTACACTTATTTTGCCCATTAATTCTTCGACCATTATCGGAGGCTAAAAATTACATGGAGAATCTCGTGTGGAGTGTGTAAAATTTAAAATTCCGTTAAGAAACGAAGGCATTGATAAACAGGATACCAGGACAAGCAAAAAAGATCTCGGCTCGCCAACGTCGAAATTCCACACGGATTTCGTAAGCCGTTAAAAAGGAAGCGCACTTCCCGTGAAACGCCACTTCCACGCACAACTATCGCCTCCAGTCCTACGGCATTCATTTTAATTAAAAGACACTTGTTACCGCACCACGAATGCAAAACGTCAATGTATCGTTGTTCGGGGCACGTGAAAGCGCGGAGCATCGCCGGCGTCTCTTTGATCTCGATCGTTACTAGTTTAAGCAGGCATAATTAATTAATCGAGCCGCATATGTTTGGTTGACTTGATGTGCGAATGCATGCCGTCGCAAGTTAATGTTTGTAGGAAAAACTGTTTGACTGTACTCGCATCTCCTAAGCTCATTTCCTATTATCAATTACGAGCGAAATGCGTTGAGTCGAGGTATTGTATTTGCAAGTTAATACTGTAACATCCGTCTGTTTTATATTATTATTGTTATTATTATTGTTATATCTTCTACGCGATATCGTCCGTAATTTGCAATGTTAATTTGCGTTTAATTTACAAATTTACAAATTTTCGGTAGCGCACAATGCTATTTCATAGGGGAAAGAAATTAAGCCAATTGGCCATCGAGCTTAAAAAGTAACAAGAAACAACAAAATTACCAAGATATGCTGCCTGTAATATCTTTAGCAACTAACACAATGCCGTGAGCTTGCTTAAATAAATCAATTAGATTATTAATATCGACATCTGTAAAGAATTTTTTAAACCCGGGATAAAAATTCTTCGACTTGGCCAACTCTCGATAATGACTACATTTCTTAACATAAAGCGTGTTAAGAATACCAGAATTTCTAAACTTCAAGCTAAAGAAACTGAACATCTCCTCACAATAGACAATCTCCTCTCGGGCTAATACATATTCTAACCTGAAATTTATTTTCACGTTTTTATTTATTTATATGTTCATTTATTTATTTATTTATTTATTTACTTATTATTATTATTATTATTATTATTATTATTGTTGTTATTATTATCATTATTTTATTATTATATCATTTTATTATTTTTTGTTGTAAAAGCTTGACCGAGCTGCCGACAATTTCGCATTATTAATTAAATTTTTTTTTGTCATTCTCAACAGTTGCAAAGTAGTACAGACAGCTGCGCTCGATTTCTTTAAAATTCTAGCGCATTTTAATCAAAATATTTTCGCTCTAATCGCCTCATAAAATATACCCGATTTATCCTTTGCCTATCATATTAACCAATCGATAGAATCAACGAATTAAATTTCCTTTGCCTTATCCGACTCGCTTAGACTCTTAGCCCGGCACACGCTATTCCCATCAAAATCCAACGCACTTATTATTCGTAATTTCTCTTTCATCAAATAAAAGCAAATTGGCAAAAGAAGCGCATGATTGAAACGAAAGAATTAACGTTCTTGAATTGCTTGGCTTGATTGCAGGCCGAGGAACTGAACACTATCGTCGGCAATGCTTTTCGCATGGCGTACGTGGCGCAACTGCAGCGCCAACCGATGCTCCAGGATGTGATCAACTCCAAGTCGAACGCGCACTTTCGGAAGGACAAGCACCAGCAGGAAAATCGGACTGCCGTCTGGGTGAGTCGTCCTGACCTGTATTTTCATTTTATTACGATTATTACGATTATTACGATTATTACTATTATTAATATTATTAATATTATTTTAATTCGAAATGACCGCGGTTCCTTTTTTCTACGTCTTTTGCCAATATAGTTGGGAATTAAGTACAAATGCTCCCGACGATCCTCTACAATATAATCAATTCCCATGATTTACGCTATCCATGGTTTTTTAATATTGAAGCTTCGAATCTATACGAATTATGTATAATGTATTATGTATCGATTTTTTACATTTATTGTATACGTTTATCATTATATATAATATTTAAGTTTAAATCATTACATTCTTAGATTATAATAATAAATACTTCGGTATTATCACTCTATTATGTAATTGTAAAAATAATACGAGAACTTAAATCTATCCGCTGTAATATTTAGAACATGTTTGTTTACTTCTAGTATTTACTTACGTACATAGAGCGACATAATTTGCATACAAATTATACTTTCTACTATTTTAAATCAGTGTTTAAAAATTCAGTGAATGAAAACATGAAGAAATTCCGTTAAGGCATTAGCCATCGTCATTCCAAAGCATTCTATTACAGCAGCCAATGTTGTATATTACTAGTAATGAAATGTAATGATTATTTAAACATTCAACTATTTACACGTTTTATTTGAGAAAATCATTCATTGATAAAGCAAACGACAATTATAAGATTATGTCGTCTTGTAAGAATTTATGTAATAATATCGTAAACTACCTTTTCGCAAAAAGTTCTCCTCAACATTAATACTCATCGAAGTATCATACGATTTAGCTCTTTGATTTTTCAAGGAGACGTATTACATAGGCATTGAGATCCGTTGTGCAGGAGCCAGAAATATCATACATGAAAATTATAAAAGGAAACGAACCCTTATAAAACTTCACCTCGGCGACGCACGTTGCATAAGTCTCGCCCGTACTTTTGTATTCACCGCGGCGCTAAGAACTTTTGCTCAAGAGAAACTAATTATAGATTCACCCACACGAGCTTTGCCTCGTGAAAAGATTTTGCAATGGCAAAAAACATGAAAAAAAAAGAAAGAAAGAAAGGGGGTTAGTATGTGCATTCATGAGAATTCCCAGCGACAAATCAAACAAATTTTTAAAAATAGAAGTATAAATACGCTCGTGTGCGTTAAGAAGGAGAGAGTAGACTTTAAAAGCTTTTCAATCGCCGTTTTACAAACTTACTTCATAAGCTTATGGTAGAAGAGGAAAAGGAGTGGACTTGCATTGAGAAAATGATGAATGCTAGTGAAAAAGTTGACTGCACTGTAATTGCATAAAGGGGTAAAGTAAGTCGGGCTTCGTACTTTTTTTTTTTATCATATATGCACTAAATGCTTCTTGGATTTCTGACATGTTGTTTCGTTCCTAAGCGTGAAACACAAAAGATAGTTAATGATATTTGTATATTTATAATATGGTATCAATAGAGTATCGATAGGAGAAATATTTATTAGATATAGATTGTCACACTTTACATAGAACATATTTGGTAATTGTATACATTTCTTATGGAATATTATCATTAATATTTTTCCCGTTATGCTTAAGTATAAGCTTTCAATTAAAAATATGTTTTTGTAATTATATATATATATATATATATACATTGAATATTTTAGAAATTATTTAGAAATTACCTGTATAATTTGTCAATTTATTTTAATACTCTACTAATTCAGTTTTCCATTCTTGAGTTAAAGTGTTCTAAAAATTCCATCCTTACATAGCATATTTCAAAATAAAGTAAAATATAGCTACAATGCATCGTAAAATTGAACAAAATTTCAAATTACTCGGACAAATCTGGTGCATCTTGAGATTCGAGCAATTAATTTCACCACCGAGGTAACATCAGGACAGAGAAATAAATCTTCGCATAAAAATGTGTGCGCGAAGCACATCCGCGCAAACGCCCCACTAAATACAGCCGGAAAATAACACACGTAACATACGTGTAAGTAAAAGTTGCAGTGGACAGTAGCGGCAGAGGAGCAGCGGGGAGGGAGGATGCGCTTGGCGCGAACCAACAACCATCGCACGGAACTTGACGTGGCAGTTTAAAAGAAAGTACGCGTCGCACTTATTGTACGTGTGAGGCTATTTTACCTACCAACGGCCCTTTGTTGCCATTTTCAATTGTGCGCGAAAAATACGCGTACCTCCCACTCGCTCTTTTACGCCTGTCAAGACAAACGATATTCAGTGGACTTTGCGCGAATTGTGGTGTAATTGCGCGTAGTTTAGCCATGGCTGGAAAACCTTTTCGAGGGTGTTAACACTGGCAATTGTTGTCGGCTGCTTCGTTACGTGCGCTCGCCGTAATAATATGCAATTTACGAACGATGGTTTTCATCGCGTGATGAAATTATGAAAATGCTCGGGAGCCATTGGGAGAGGAGAATTCGCCGTCTCACCTTTTTCTTTATTCATTAAAATATAGGGCATTGTTCGAAGGTTGAGGCATATTAATAATTTATACGTCACTCGATGGCATTCGGTAATGGCTTTGTCGGGAAAGGTGTAATTTTCAAGGTAAACGTCAATTTAGTTTTTATAAACATTGCACCTTATTATTTTTATATAAACAGGTGCTCAATGCGCATGTCTAAATGCACAGAAGAAATTAATTTTACCAAAGTTATAATTGATATTTCACAAATATGTAGAATTTAATCTCGAATTACGTAATATGAGTGAAATAGGATATTTTTAAATGCGTGCTGTATTAATTAAAATTGCGATCGGTAGGTAATAACGGTGAATGCATAAGCATATTTGATATGGAAATGTATAATAAGCAATGATAATTTTAGATTCATATAATTTAATGATTCGCAAAATCTCGTGATGAATAAAAACCTTACGAACAGCAAATTAATTATTATATAAAAATATTTGAACGCCAATAATGTAAATACTTATTTCAAAGTATTGCAAAAAATATACGGATTTATGTTATTTCCAAAGGATTCACATTGAATAGAATATTCTTCATTAACAATATTAATAATTATTTTGACAAAATTTCAATTAAACTTGCAGAAGTGAAGATTGAATAATAAATTGAATTGAAATATTTTCAAATTCAAATTTTAATTAATTCAAAATGTCAATTATGACAATAAATTATTTTAATATTTTTCATTAGCCGACAGTATATTATCGTTATTTTTATGTTCGAATAATGAACGATTTCATCAATGTATGATAATTATAATTGTGTTTTAGTATTTAACAATACTTCTAAACTATTAGGGAAATAATGGCAATACCAATGGTAATTATTAAATTTTACAGATCAACGGATATAAATAATTTATAGAACTTTATTTAGCACTATAAAATGGGAAAAATTGTTTCACATTTGAGTACAAATACTTCATAAAATTAAACGATATTCCATAGAGTATGCCATGATAAAAAGTAAGACCAAGAGTTTAAAACCACTGCTATAACCAGTTTATAATATATCCAACTCAAAACGAAATAGAAAATGATGTCAACCGTAAAGCCTATAAACCAATCTCCTTTTAACTTTGTAACTGCATATTAATAAGTATCAGGGACATGCTTGATGCATTTTACAACGAACTTAATAAGTTGAAGTGATAAAAGATATATCAGATATTTATTAAATGTCTCATTGAAAATTCATTGATTTGCATAAATAATTTAACGATGCTTAACACATTGATAAGTGCACGTTGTATGTAATGATATTTTCTATATTGAGATTACTTATCACCGTATATTTCAAAAGCTACATTTGCTCCTATTTATAGTTACAGATAACTCATGTACGTGACATTTATATGTATAAAACAACTAACATAGGCATACGAAATTCGAATTTTTATGGTAGGAGTGTATCTTATGTTTTATATCGGTAATATCGATAACTGTATCGATTTTGGTTTTCCTTTTTGTTTTTTGAAATCGTTATTTTGCTAAAAATTGTAATTGACGTATCCTAACATACTTTTAGCTTAAATAAATCAAAAACTAAAAGCAGATCTGTATTAAAGGTAAAATTTGAATATTGTAATACATTATAATTTAAGAGTACCATAAATAAACACGATAAACAGCTATTACTCTTCACTCTATTAATAACCATTTTTACACTGCTATAACGCATTTAAATATAATTCAAATGAATTTAATGCACTGTTACACCATGCCCTCATAAAGCATCGATAATTTCATAAGAAATCATCATCACTAACTCATAAAAATCCTCGGATCGAATAATAAAATAATTTACTTCTTTTCAGAACAAGTCCCTAGTTGGCAGTGATTCGGCAAACAATAACAACAACAATAACGAATAATAAAATAATTTACTTCTTTTCAGAACAAGTCCCTAGTTGGCAGTGATTCGGCAAACAATAACAACAACAATACAAACAACAACAACAACAACAACAACAACAACAACAACAATAAAGTGGTCGGTGGCGTTACCGGCGGCTGCGGCGGCGACGGCGGCAGCTGCAGGACTCCAACGTCGAATCTCTGGCAGTCGAGTCAGCAACAGACGACGTCTCCGAGTAATAGCAGCAGTGAGGACGGCGACATGAACCTGCAGCTCGGCAGCGCCGGTTCACCGACGCTTCGGCTCTCCAGTGTCAAGGTAAATCCTTCCGACAATTCTAAGTCAATTGTGAATACTCTTTGGGCGCGAAAATAGTTTTTCCAAAGTTTCGCCATATTATAATGCCCAAGTTGCGAACGGCGAAGACAACTTTGCATTGCAAAGTATCGAGTGACAAAGTTTGATGCGTATTGATTTGATAAGTCGTTCCAATATACTTTTAAAGGCATTTAATGAGAAAAGCTCAAAGCATTTGCGCTACATTATTACTTGGAGGAGGAGTACCTTTGATAACGATTGAAACTTGTTGATTGCTCTTTTTATTGCGAGCCTCAATGTTCACCCGACATTTATTAAGCTCGATTGACTCGCAATATTAATCTTTTATTATTAATAAGGATAATAAGAATCATAGTACCCATACATAATTGGAACGTTTTGTTTAAATAAGCCGTGGACAATGTAAAGATTTCATCATTCCATTTAGTCGTTGTAATGTTTAATATCTTTCACGTTTCTTTTAGGTATGAAGTGAAACCAACGTACGTAATTTCGTTCGAACGTTAAACTATAATAAGATTTTCAATATTTTGTTATTATTCATTATGGATAATTATAGCATTTTCTAGCATACATTAAATATTGTATACAGAATTTTAATCTGATATTCATATGGTAATTAATAATTATGGTGCAATATTTATAATGTAAAAAGCAAGCTATTTGAATTGAAATAATGTATAATATTATGCGTTGAATAGAATTAATGCGTAAAAAAAGCGTACGTTATGTTTTGTCAAAAGTTGCTTAGACATTTAATGCATTAATAGATTAATAATGTAAAATTGCGAGAGTAATCGAAAACCTTTAGTGCGCGCGTATTAAATAGAATTTAGTTACTAATTAATTATAGGTAACTATATTTACTTTTTGTGCGCAAACATTATGATTATTACGATGATTGATAATTGTGGATTGAAATCTACCTGCTTAAACAAACCAGAGGCACAATAAAGAGAAAATAAAAGTAGAGGCGATACGATCTCCGTCATTACATTTTACTCGGAAGTAACGACAAATAAAATCATTATATCTCTCTACTCGGCCTCTGTTTTGACTCGATTCAATAAAAATTGAGTACAGAGAGAGAGAGAGAGAGAGAGAGAGAGAGAGAGAGCGAGATGTATTGGATAATGATCCATCAAGCTGCCATGATTTTTACGACGTATCATGTTACACGACAAACGCTTCATACGTCTATGATTTCATTTAGCGTCCACCAAATCCCTACTATGAACTCAATCCTTTATCGCGAAAGACAAAGGACAAGGACATGCATCCTCGTCGCTCCAACCTGAAAAAGCTGACCCATTTCCAAAACATCAATTAACCGAATGATCGATGCTTTTCTTTCAGACGCCGAACTCGATTCCGGGCCTACGGCCTTCCCATAACTTCGGCGGCGTCCTCGGCTCCCTGCACGCAGAGGACGACTGCGCGACGACGAAGAGCATCTCCCAGCAGAGCACACCGAGCAGCGACGAGAGCAACTCACCCACGGAACTCAACTCGTACAAGCGACTCGCGGATAAGCCGCCACTCATCAAGCGACTCGCCATGGGTCTCACCGGTGAGTCCCAACTCCCTTCATTCCCGTTTTCGTTCTCTTTTCCTTAACCTCGAAACGGCTGCGCTCCAGTCGAAGAGTCCCGACACCGACGGCCTGTGAATTCCACGGACACAACACGGACATCGACTTGTTACATTCGACGTTTGGCATTAGCTTAAACGCTTGCGTCATCGCCCCGATGGGTGTTACCCACAGTCTCGATGTTTATTAACGACCATTAGATTTGATTAAACGTTGGGTGAGTATGCCATGGACCGAACGACTGAAGCCGACTGAGAAATTACATCCAATTCTATGCCGTGGGACTAGCAGCGACAAAACTCGGTTGCCGATTCATATGCGACAGCAGCGCATAGCGTAGCGAGCGACTTGAAAAAAGTCGGCTCACTGCAGCGTATAAAGCAGGGGGGGAGGGGGAAATGAGAGAGTGGGTGTCGAGTCGGTGGCGACGAGCCAATTGGTGGAGAAAGGGGCTATCGGGAGGGACGAGCGCAGAAGCTAAACCGAGAATTTTGCGTTACTTCTCAGGCGGACGAGACGTGCTGAGTCTGAATGGCGAGGACGACAGCTGTCCGTTAGTGAGTGGCGGCAGCACCCCGACGTCCCCGACGACGACGAGGCCGCACTCGGGCGGCTACATAAATGAGGCCATTGTCGAATCCGATACCGGAAGTACGACGACGAGGCCCCAGCAGCAGCAGCAGCAGCAGCAGCAGCAGCAGCAGCAGCAACCGCAGCAACAACAGCAACAGCAACAACCGCAGCAGCAGCAACAGCAACAACAACAGCAGCAGCAACAACAGCAGCAGCAACAGCAACCACAGCAGCAGCACCATTATGGCAAACTGCTGCCGGTCACCGAGAACCTCGACAATACCATCAATTCCTCCATCAACGCCAAGAATTTCAATATCGAGAATAACAGGTTCGTGCCAAAGGCAGTCATGTCGATTATATTCTTATCTCCCTCTACCCCTCCCGTTCCGTCTCGTCCTCCCTTCCTCTTCCTCTTCCTCTTCCTCACTCACGCTCTCCCCCCTCCCCCTCCCAACGCCTCTTTCTCGTTCCTTTACTCTCTCATTTCCTCCGTATGTTACTCTACATATCCGTCGCTATTATCGCTGCCGCCACCGCCTTCGCCACCGCCATCACCACCGCAGCCACCACTGCCTCTCTTCCCCCTTCTCAACGTCCATTTTATCGTGAAAAATTCTCCTGAAACGAAAAGAGCCGAATGACGAGAGAACAAGGATAAGGATGAGGGGTGGAATGAGAGGTGGTGGTGGTGGTGGTGGTGCTGCTGCTGCTGCACGTGATGAACGGGAGGCCACTGGGGGAAGGAGTATCCTTTGTAGATGGTGTTATTATGCGATGGATGAATAGTGTTAGGATTTTATTGGACGGGAAGATCATTGTTTTACGGGCGGACGGAGCCGAGAGGACGAAGAGGATTCTTATTTTGTTTGGCTTCGTTGTTACCTTTCTTGGATTTATAAGCTATCGATCCATTAGGAGATTAAAAAGATTTTCAATAATATTGAATTACACAAACATCATAATAATTTACACAGTCTTTTGTCGATAATGTTACGTTAAAAAAATAAAAATAATAACTTAGCCGCACTATTGTCGTTGCTCTGAAATTAAAAAAAACATTCGCTCTTTTATTGCCTGAAAATCATATAGTCGTACGGTTATTGCGAGGCTGAACATTCGCGTACCAAGTAGATAGCACAGACAATAATAACATCCACTTTCTTTCATTATTTTACACACTGCCATCTATAAGTACATTTCGTATTCCTTTTTTGGCAAGTCTTTTCTTATTTCACCTCTTGTTTCCTTAATCATAAACTTGATAAGTTAATGTGACTATTAATCAATAATTATGGGTATCCGTAAACGCATATACATGGTCAAAATATTTTTGCAATTAAATTTATATGCTTGTAAATATACTTTGAAAGCTATTATTGCCATATAATATCCTCCGTAATATCATGAATAATCTTGCTTAAGCTCTTGTCACAAGCCTTTTTGTCTTTCGCCAATCCCACTACCTTATTACAAGTACTAGTACATTATCGGAATTTCGTTAAAATTTAAATATGCAATCTACTGGATTACTTTAACCCCTCGGTGTATATTTAAAGAAGTGCCTGGTAAAATAACCTCGATAAAGAAAATATTAGCTTGCGAATGAAATATTAAATTCAGGCTATTCTATCATTTTAACAAGTTGTATCATTGGTATTCATTGCATTGTTCTTTATATTAAAGCTCTCCTTAATTATCGAAAAAAATCTTATTTAATAAGAAGCTACGCGGTACAAACTCCCCTCCCCCCCTCCCTCCCTCCCTCCCTCCCTTCCCCCATAACACCCTCCCACCATCCCGCTCCTTACCCCTCGCCGGTCTCTCGACTACACAGCAAATTCCAATTTAAATAGCACAAATATTATTAAGATCTTACTACAAGCAGTCTAAGCATTTATCGTGTTTCCTAACAATTTAATGGGCTGCGAGTCATAATAACTAGCGTGCACGTATGACATTAACATTAATCAAGATTGCGTCGAAGTAGTCGTCTCGAGCTTTTATAACGATTCCAACAAAAACGGCCAAACACGCACGACGATTATCCCGAACAAAAAGCACAAAACTCCTCAGCCGCACCAACTGCAGATTCGTTCGATACAATTGGCAATGCAAAAGTCAGGCCGAATTCCCAAATCGATAACATTGCGCAGAGCCGACGGATGCTTCCTCCTCTGCCCTCTCTCTCCACCCACCCCATCCCACACCCATGCCCCGCTTCGTCGCTAAAGTACGGTGTGAGCCGCGAAATGAGCGACGACGACGACGACGACGACGACGACGACGAATATCATGATCATGATCTTCCATCCTTAATCACAATGGACTTTGGTATCCAGGCTAGCCCAGAGCACGGCCACCGACTCGGACTTCAAGTCGAAACGACGGTCCCAGATCAGTACCTCGAGCAGTTCCGTACCCGCGGACGGCAGTATGCACGGATCGACGCCAACGCCTCCGCCGCTTCCAGAGCGAACGGACAGTCTCAACAATCGCTGCGAGGAGGGAGAACTAAGGCGGGCACCCTGGTTCCAGGCCGGCATACCGAGGTACGAACTTTACGTCGCTGCCGATCCATTTAGCGTTGAGCTCACCGACGTCAGATTCGACTTTGTCGTGGAACTGTTAATTAATTGGCTCGGATATAAATGGCTTAATGGCCGATGACGACTCTGTACGTTAATTGAGCCTATTTTCAATTCAAAGTTATTTATCGTTATTCGTCGATTTGATAAATAAGTTTGTACCCCTTACACATCGATATTCCAATCAACGATGCGTCGGTTATTCCCGTTGGAATTGTCTGAATCTGATTGCCGTCGTACCGTTTCTCGACTACGTTAGTGCGCCCACTCGCTAAACGGATGATTAACAACGACTCGTTCATATTAAGTGTACATGCGTAAGGAAGACGAGACCTAATTTATGGCGAGAATCCCATTCTTTTCAACTACTTGATTTATAATATTGCAAAAATTCGGAGGACTTCTCGTGGCGCCTGTCCTGAATAGACATTCGACTTTCCGTATCGTGGACATGAGAATGTTCGCGGACCCTGTGTGTAACCAGCAATGTTTTTACGTTTTTAAAAGACGAGAAAATATAAAATTTTAAATCGTTTTTCCTGTCGCGTGCATTAAAACGAATCATTCTTACATTCGACACATTCGTGAGCATGAAAATGAAGCCAATGTCGTCACGTCGAAATAACGCATCTCCGAGACTCTTAATAAATTTTCATTTGGCACATTACGCTTCATTAAACTTATTAACACTTTTAGTTTTCGAGCGCGTAACCTTCCAATTCCGAAAACGAACTTCACGACGGCAAACAAGAGCCACGAGTATAGTATCCGACACCCAAGCAACAAAGTAAATGTGCCACTGGATACTCTCCCGAGAACCCCTATCATTTACTATAATTCATATTTTTCGCGGCACGAAAAGGCACTAGAAGGCCTCCGCGAGCGATCCAAAGTACTCGTAACGGACCGATCGATCGTAGCCAGCCGTTAATTATTCGTTAATTATCCGTTAATTATGAATAGACGTCTCGAGAGGGTCCCGATGACGGTGATCTTCTCTCTCTCTCTCTCTCTCTCTCTCTATCTATCTATCTATCTATCGATCTATCTATCTATCTATCTATCTGTTTCTACAATAATTTCTGTCGCGCAGGGAAATAACGTTGGAGGTGCTGAGCCAGGAACCCGAGGGCGCCTTCATGGTGCGCGAGAGCACGAGCAAACCCGGCTGCTACGCCCTGTCGCTGCGCGTGCCCCGCGAGTTCCAGCCAAGCGGCATCGCCCATTATCTCATCATGCGGACCAACAAGGGTTACAAAATAAAGGTACGTCGAAACAATTGATTGCCGGGCATAAGTCGACCGGCCTTGGTTACTTTGTGATTGTAGATCGACTTGTCTCTTCCTTTTTTCCTTTTCATTGAATTATTTTAAATTCGAGGATCCGGGGAGAGATTGTTATTGATTTGATAGTGATTTTGACTGGGTCTATGATCCAGCTTTTTGGCCCCCCTCCCCTTCCATTGAGTAGGAAGCATTGAAGTGCAGAAGGTAGATTATTATGGGAAAGTTTAGATTATAATTAGTTATAGATTATAATTGAGCATCCGTGGAGTTTATCACGTGGCAAAGGATTAATAGTGCGCGCACTATTTATTAAACACCTTACGTATATTAAGAGAAAGGAAAAAAAAAATTGAAGAGATGAAAGAGTCTCTTATGAAAATAAAACAAGATTTTAGAAGTTTCTCACACCATATAAATTATAACAAAACTTTCCGTTCATTAATATGAGTTTTTACCGTGTTTATGAAGAAAATTTGAAATCGCTAGAGAACTTTGTTCCTTCTTATTACATTATAAATATATTTTACAAATTTATAAATAAATTTCACGATTTCGCTTAACCGAAAATAAATTGTATTCGAGAGACGATTATTTAGATTGATTCTCAGTAATTGCATATAAAATATAACTTCGCGTGTATATTCAATTATTTGTATAAATACACTTTTGCATGTCCTTTATTTATAGTCCTTTGTATTAATGTTTGTCAAAATTTTACGATCGTCATTTTTCACACAAAATGCATCGAAAATTACGGCATATAATATAAATTTGTGTGAAATTGTACAATTGCATTTTTTAAAGGGTAATTTTCTGTTTTCCCTTACAAATCTGAGCGGCATATCCTGGAATACAATATTTTCGGGTTTTTTTTTTTTTTTGTATTCTCACAGGTGTTCTCGCATACCATAATTTTGGCCTTTCTGTAACGAGTCACATCATTCCTTTTCAGCTACCCTTTTCTTCTTCTTCATCATCATCTTCTTCTTCTTCATCTTCTTCTTCTTCTTGTTCTTCTTCTTCTTCTTCTTATTCTTATTCTTATTCTTATTCTTATTCTTAATATTCTTCTTCATCTCAAATTAAATTTATAAGCTTTGAAATTTCTCTAGACTGTACAATTATTTTCAACTGCCTAATCAAATCTATACATAATTAATTATCTTATTACGCGTAATATTTATAGCCAAATTTAATGTTTAATTAGTTAAGTTTACTTTTTCATATAAAACTATAATGATACAAATGGGAAAACTCGAAAAACATGAAATTGAAAAATAAATTACCCTTTGTTAAAGATAATCACGAATAAAGAATAAAAACTCCTTTTATATTCACAATTTACTATTCTTCTAACATATTACGTAAAAAGTTATTTTAACACAAATTGATATCTTTTATATAATCCGACGATAGAAGATATTCGATGAAAATTGCTATTGGATTTTTTTTAATTACTTTGAAACGTGTCGTTAATTGAGTTTCATCTTAGTAATTATGAGATTTCGCGAAAATATTGTATAAATTTTTAATTATTCATACTATTTAATAACAACAAAAATATTTAATATACCAAGTCATATTTTTAAAAAGGAAATTTTAAAAAGTAATGAAAGCAATTTCACAAACCATTATAAATAAGCTATGCAATATACATTGCTAATTTAACTTTTTAATTATAATTTCAATTTCAATTTGAACTCTATTTTTGTATCGAAATTATAAATGGAATATTAAACCAGGGCTTTCCAATTGCCGACTATATTTCTTAAAATCACCACCAGCACTATTTCAAATCGTGAATTTTCCAATCTTCATCTCCTCGGACCAGAAAAATAATCAAAATTTTGACAATATGAAAATGCGCTTTCTCCCCAGGAATATTTTTATACATAGTGCATCATTGTCCGCATCTCGCGGTCCGGCATTATTAAAAATCTTATTTACGATGAATCGAAGATGTGTTGGAAGAGCCTTTTGATTACGTGCACATTCCTAGAAAATGTGAAAGTCATTGGAAAAGTGTGTCTTGCTATTTTGATGCGTTTGTAAATCGATTTTTGTCGGTGAAAGCTTGCGCAGGCAGTAGAGAATGTTGCCAGAAGCTCTCAGGTTGCGAGAATATCGAGCAGAGGATACGAATGCTTACGACGTCACCGATATACACGCAAATGTCTTATGTGACAATTTTTACCCGATTTCTTTCAACGTTGAGAAATGAGATTTTTATGTTTAACTTTTTTTTAACATTACTTATTTTTGTTTTTTGTTTTATATTTTCACGAATGATTGGTAAAATATATATATTTTTTTGTTTTATTTTTTTCTCGTAAAGTAAGTCGAACGATTTCATTCTCATAAAAATTTTCACCAAAATACAATAACGCAGTGGATTGCGTTGTAACATACTAACCTGTATTAATGCACATTATGCCACTTACACAGTTAATTTATGTTCTCCAAGTATTTGTACACTCTATTGCTTAGGGACATATCGCGTGTATTTGATGTCTCGTCTGATACCACGTTTCCGTATATTTACATTTATAAGATGCAAAGATAATGGAATCTCCAAAAGCGTCAAAGTGTAACAAGAGAACATAATTATGTAAAATAGGTGTTCTAGCTGCGATTAGATACTGTTTCATATACGCGTTGTACATGTATTTACAATATGTACCTAATATTTCTGACGTCTTAAGTGCCGTTCCTCAATATATGTATATATATATATATATATATATATATATATATATATTACAAAAAAACTGATTTAATACTCGTTTTGAAATTACCTATGCAGTCTGTATTACATACGTATGTGTAATTAGAGTCAGAAATAAAGTATATGAAATATAATTGTTTTGAAATTATGTTATTTATGAACGGCATGTATCGTAGAATATCAATTAAATGATGAAATAAATCTATCATAGTTATTATTGATATATATCGTTATAAGATATTAAAACATAATCGAATTTTCATATAACAAAAATATATTTAGGCTCCATCGATAAATTAAATTTATTATCACATCTGCCAATTAGGCATCTTAACTTGTATGCAATGATGTAAGCTTCATCAAATGCTACAATCTACGAACACGTATATTCCACTTTTATACGCAATTAACGATCAAAAATACAAAAACTGTTTCACATCATTCTGCCTCCAGCAATTACATTAAATTCAAAAAAAGCTCGGAAAAATTCGACTCATCTTCGTTCACGTCGCGCTCTCTTCTCTCGCCCAAAATAAACCGGTAAACGTTTAAGAAAGTATTGCTTAACTTGGCAAAACTCAAAACTGCAGCCACGTAACTTTTGTCGTGAAACTTACTTCCTGGCTTCGGCAGAGCCGCGCAAATCCGAAAAATAAAAGGCCGTCCCGCATCCGCCTCTATCTTACAATTCGCGCAAATTACAAACTGTTGAATCCACCTCAATTAAACTCGCACGGCCAACCTAATTTCTTACAACGTCGGCCTGAGACTCGACTCATCTTCGCCATGCGCGTGTGTGTGCGGTAGCGGCGATGACGGCGGAGGCGTCGGCGACGACGAGGGTGGGTCGGGGAGCAGGGGGCTGACACTCCGCGAGCTTTCCGCGGGTCGAGCATCCCCAGAGGGTTTACTCGACGGGAATTTCGCGTACCTAATAAAACAGTTCTCAAAAGTCGCGGGCGAACTCGCCGAGGCCTTTGTCCGTAGGGTCTCCTTCTTTCCGGAGGAGGTCAGGCCACTTCTGCTGACGTGGATTAAGGTCGCGACGCGTATATACAAGCGTAGCCTCGGGTGTACTTTGAACTTGGCTTGCGGATTTTCCGGCTCGGGAACATTGTTCAACTATGACAATGTGCCTCGTTGTCTCGTGGGAGAGTAAAATTTTTAGAATACTATTACCGCGTCTTTCATGGATTTGGTTGAAGGCATTTTTTTTTTTTTTTTTTTTTTTTTTTTTTTTTTTTTTTTTGGGCGAGTGATGGTGCAAGAAGTATAATAGGCATCGATGTTTAAATCGACGACGAAAAATCGATGTTTCTAGCTTGAAATTCATTCTCCAGACACGCGATTACCTCGTTAAAATAGCAACAACAGACGACTACTTAATGAACGAATAACTGACATAAATGTAACTTTATTTAAAAACTCCTTCTGTATTATTACGACTGTTTAATGTATCGCATACCAACTACGAAAAAAATATTTAAAAAATTTTATTTAAAGTTCTAAACATGATATTTCATCTAAATGATATTTCAAAATGTTGTCCTATCTGATAAAATCCGATATAGTTCTTTGTTCGTCGAGGTTACGGTATATTCTGCTGTATCATGATAGGGAACGATAAGTTACTCGTGACATTAGTATGACTGTGACACGCGTTGTAGCTTTCATCTTTCACTATTATAGAAAGTTTTATTTTATATTTGTATGACAGCCATAGTTTAGACTACCATAGTTTTAAACGGCTGGCTTATTCTTTTCATATTATATTAAAGTCCCAGATGTTGTATTAAAATTTTCTTTTCGTTTATTAATGTTACTGAATCGTTCATTCACTCGAGTCAAGTTATTATTTTTAGTTTGAATTTCTCACGGATCGAATTTATAAGTAAAAAGTACTTGAAAAAAATCTCTCATTCGAAGTATTAAGCTTTTGTGTTGATAATGCTTAAATAATGTTTATTATTTTATTGGTTTTATTATTTTAAATAATTAACGAGGGATCATACTTTTGTTTAATTAAAACTATAGTTGGTATTGATTAATGAATAAATATATTAATCGTGAATGGCATAAAATATTAAATAAACATATTTATCTTAAACGAAAAGTCTTTAAATAAAAATGTTATTAAATGCAAAGTTTTATATTTAAATTTATTTCATAAATTTTTAATTACATTATCATTTTTCATACGTTCCGATTTTTTTTCTTTTTTTTTTTTTTCTTAAGAATTATTAATGTTCAGAGTGAAAAATTGAAAGCTTATCCAATTCTTCCGTTAAAAATCATTCTTTAGATTGTATACGAAAATTAAAAAAAAAATACCTTTAAGAGTTATAAGATATTCATAGTTGCACGCGGACTATTTAGAATATAATCGGTTATGCAAAAGCTTAAAAACATCGAAGTATACATAAATGATTTTCTTTATTTAAAACAAATAGCAAATATATTGCATGGTTTGCAAAAATAATTATTTAAAAAATATCAAGCATACCAACAAATATTGTTTAGAATTTTATTTATCATATGCCTTTCTTATTCTTTCTTCTTTTTTTTTTAAATAAAGAATGAAACACTTTTTAATAAAAAATGAACATCAAAATGTTAATGTTAGAATCAATTTATTTGGAAGTATGTAAAAAAATATTATTTATAAAATAGAATTTTCAGATAAAAGAAATTTTCAAAAAACTTTAATGCTTACGCTTGTAATTAACAAATGAGAAATAATTTAAGAAAATAAAAATTAAATTTTAATTAAAATTCAGATAATGGAAATACTTTTTAATAAGTTTGTCGATATTTTGACAAGTGCAATAAGCATAAGGTCTTAAGTCAACTTAATCTAACATAATAATTATTTAGATAGAAATGGTTAATTAGCCGACCGAAGAGAGCGAGGAATTGACAATCCCAAACGAATTTAAAGACTGTAGATTGTGTAACAATTACAATTCGTAAGAAGCGTCATTTCTTCAAACTACCAACGATTTGGAACTTTCGCCTGGAGAATATTACAGAGGGTCGGAGCTTTCGTGAGACCAGTGAAAAAAAATAATTTTTAATAACACCCTTGAGTCTCGCAAAGCTCACTCTCTCTCTCTCTCTCTCTCTCTCTCTACATCCAACGGAGCATTTTCAATTTGTTTATTCATAGCGGCCAGTTTACCAGCACGCTCTGGAAAAAAGCTAAAAAAAAGATAAAGATGAGACCGTGTGTATAAAAAGCAATTTCTTTCATGAAATTTCAGTGTACTCTCTCCCTTATGCATGAGACTTCGCTTCCTCCCACCTCTCTCGCCCTTACGTACTTGATCCTCTCCAGGAGGATTAGCCGCACTCGCTCGCTCTATTTCGAGAAACGAGAGCACGTGCATCGCGCTTCTTCTTCTTCTTCTTACGCCACTTCTTCTGCGTTTTCGTTTTTTTTTTCTTTCTTTGTAGACAGCCCGACGACTATTACTACTTACCTCGCCCATCGCGCGTCAAAATCAAAGCTGTAAAGACGCGCGTAACGAGCTCGACGTGTCCTAGATTGCACGAAAAATTAGTCCCGAGGCCGCTTTTTACCCCAAATCGGAGACATTCCCCTAGTAGCGCGTGAGTGCGTGTACAAGCCGATTTATTTTCGTCCCGAATAATATTGCGTGCTCACTAATTAGATGGTCCGCTTTATCGTATGGGTTATACCCGCGTGCATATGTAGCAGTTGTTTCGACGAAATATTTATGGATGCAGTTTCGGTAGTGCGAACGCTCGAGTACTGTAATTAATCGAGCGTTATGTCGCGCTAATAAGGATCCAGGCGATTTGTTTTTAATAGGTTGCGCGAATGCACGGCGAAAAAGAAGTTTTATGTAAATTGATATTGCATTGCATGCTTGAATTTTAATTAGAATGTACACGTACTCGCGAGTTTTTTTGTTTCGGCAGGGAAAAAATAAGGCTTTTTCTTTCGAGGTGTTTAGTAGCGGATTTTTTGCGTTGATATTGGGACGAGGTGAAACTACTTAAAATCGTTTCTTAATTTATTAATAGGTATATCTGGAAAACGTTTTAACATTAAATATCGTCAGATAAGCCAAGAATTATAAAATTTTTATTTTATTTTACTCTAATTATTTCATTATTTTCCATGTAATGCCCACGAAAAAAGTCTTTGCAGTTTCATATGCTTTTAGTCGCTCTATTATATGCCTTTTTTGTTTGATTTTTTCATCTTCTGTTTTTGATTAATTGCAATATATGCATTTAAAATACAAAGATTATTTTATTCAACAAATAGGTAATTGGATAATGCCAACATAAATTCCAACGCTGATTGTTTTATCACTACCACAATTTATCTTAATTTTAAAATATATAATATACCGGTGCTATATTTTAGAATATCTCTCAATTATTAAACTTTAGTATTATATATATATATATATATATATATATATATATATATATATAATAATATATAATAATGAACAATTTTTCGTTTACGAGGACTAATCTATATTATTACTAAATATGACGCTCGTGCTAGTGAATTTTCACAATAAGTTAATTAATCTACAAATTTGACTATCCCGCACCATCAACTCACAATATAAATTATCAAATGCCAATCTACATTACGAAAATAATAGCTCACGTCGTTTAACGCAATGTCAAAGAGTCTCTAGCATTTCATATATCGACGGTAGCAATAATTTTAGTAGACCACTACGGTATCTATTAATCGATGTAAAAACATCCTACAGTCTTGGCATTTAATCGATCGGTGCCTGACGTAAAAATATCAATAAATCAATGAGCGCCTACGGATTTGCAATCCCTCTCGTCGACATCATCACTGCCTTCGAAATAATAACCATAATCTTGCTTTTTCTCCCCAGGGCTTCACCAAGGAATTCACGACGCTAACCGCCCTGATCACACACCACTCGGTGATGCCGGAATTGCTACCCTGCCCGCTCTCGCTGAGCCGCTACAATCCGAGCTTCGTCAAAACGGACTCTAACAAGGATTTCGCCGACATTGATTCCGACCCGGACTACAACACCCTCGCGGACTTTCGTAAAATGATGGCCGACCTCAATGTGTAGAACCGCTGCCGAAAATAGGCATCACTCCGGCCATAGGTACCAATTAGCTTCTCTAGCGAGAATCGACGTCGACGGAGCGACCATTTAGAATCGAAGCGAAGCGTGTGCTCGATTTGCAGAAAACGAAAATCAGCCGCGAATTCTCGACGACCCTCCGACCCTCGAAATACGACGATTTTGAGTTTAAGGCGATGATAAACACTATGATCCCGTATGATTAGAAATCTGTAACTACGACCGAGTGTGCTGCGGATTAGTAGTTACTCAAGTGATGTTTCATTTATGTTTCGTTGTACTGGTGAATTTTAATTATAAGGGCATTTTCAATTTTAATAATTATTTATCCTTCGACAGGATAATGAATGATAAAGCGAAGTCAAGTTTATTAACATTATTCTGTGATGTTTGAAAAAGCTGTTATAATTATAACAAACTCTAATAAGTAATTGACTTTTTTTCTTCTCTCCTTCTTTTAATAGTAACAATACTGATTATTAATAAAAAAACATATATTATAATGCGTTTATTTAAATAAATGTATATAAAGGCTGACAGTTTCTCTGCGTCAAGTTATCGGAAAAATATTTAAATCAATAATTCACATAGACAGGAAAGCGAAAGAAAATTAAACGACTAAACTTAATCTGATTAAATTCATATAAAAAATCAACATAAAAACTCGATTTCGTTCGTTTGTAAGCCGATAAGCGATAAGCGTATCTGGAAAACGAAAGAAAAGGAAAAATTTGAAAGACGCAGAGATAGAAAAGTGTTTGATCGAATAAATGGACGCGGGTGGGTGGGTGTGAGGGGGGCGATAGAGAAACACCGAGAGAGAGAGAGAGAGAGAGAGAGAGAGAGAGAGAGATTGGGGACGGGATGACGGGGGGGGGGGGAAAATTAAAAAAGTAAAATATACAAAGGGTTTAATGAAACTGCGCTGTTGTCCTTAGCGATGGGCGTAAGGAGTTGGAAGGCTCCGTTACGGTGATATGCTTGTAAGTCATTGCTAGAAGTCTAAGTAAACCGTCGTAGGCTTTATAATTTATTTATAGTTGGCATAAAGGCACGTGATGTAAAATGCTAAGAGCCTGCCCCGAAAGATAATCGTAACGGGCAATTCGTCAACGCACTTTGTGTAAGCGTACAAGTACGAATATTTTCTTTGCGTGGGAGTAACGAGAAATATGTAATAGTACAGAATTGATTTCTTTTGAAATGCGAGTAGAGCGATTATGGATATTAAAATACGGATATAACGATAGATACGTGTATTTATTTTCAGATAGTTGTAAGCAAACATAACGAAAGACGTGAGATATGTGAATGTAGAAGTTATTATTAAGATAACGTTCGGCATATAGGACAAAGACGGATTATACGAACAACATTCTTCTCTGTCGCTTCTATTATTAGTGCATTAAAAATATTTACTTAAGTGCGTCCTTGGCAATTTCGAGCGCGACAAATTTAAAGAAAAATTATGTAAAATTACACGAATTTCTTTTACTCCTAGAAATGAGCCGAATCGACCATCGTCAAGACAAAGAAAAGATAAATTAGATGAGATAAGTAAAGTGTGGAGGATTCGTTACCGCCGAAGAGACTGCAGATATAAGCCCGATTTTCGTTTTTACATTAAAAAAAAATTGTTTTATTCTTATACTCATAAATATCATTATGAATACATTAGTCTCAACTCCTCGAATCATCTCGGCACGTGCGGAACTCGATAAATTACCGACGTCCTCGTCGCGACGACGATATTACACGATATTACAATTTTAAAAACAAACACACACATACACACACGCACGCGCACACACGCACGCACGCACACACACACACACACACACAAAAGTAAGAACAAGCGTTTTATGTTAAAACGTTAAAAAAAAAAAAAAAAAAAAAAAAGAAATAGAAAAAGAAAAAAAAATGGTACTTATATCGGTAAATAAACAAAAGATGGAAAATGTGTTGATATTGTATATAAATTATGATAACTGTTATGCGATGTCGATTGTATTTAATTAAGAGTGAGATGACTGAATATTGAATAGCTGGTTGGCAACTCTTGACGATAATCGCTCGAGTATCCTAGTCTTGTACAGAAGAGTCGTGCGCGCTTAGGATATATTAAAAATTGAAGGGATGGTTATAAAAACTCAGAGTATCTATCGTTTGGATTTTTCAAAATAACGAATTCGTAAGTCTTGAGTTGAGCTGAGCTTGCATGTTAGAGCGAGCGGATGGGTTGAGACGGAAATTTAAAAATTTCTATATATTCTTCAAAATTCAGCTACTCGAGAACGAGAGTTTCGTTGATTGTTGAGCTATAATTTAATAACTTAAAAAAAAAATCCCTACCAAACCTAATTTATATGAATCCTTATTAAGTAAATCTTGCAATTTGTGCAAAATGCTAGTTTAATTTTTGCAACGATTGAATTATTATTTCTAATGTTTCTTGTGGAGAGAGCGAGCATTAATAAAGTTAAATGGAACTTTAAATGCTTTGAGTAAGTTAACTAATACGATGCCGAGATGTGAAATATTAATATCAGTATCAGTATTTAAAATAATTAAAATACCATTGTAATTAAAAAATTTAAAATTATTTAAATTCTGAGTTTTGATTTCCAATAAAAATGCATAAAAAGAAGTCAGACGACGAAGGAAAACATAATGTGAAAGAAAACAAATGCTATACAGACTTGAACGTAACAAAATGAGAGAAATAATAAATAAATAAATATATATATATATATATATATATATATATATATAGATGTATTTATGTACGTGTGTGTATGTTAACATATGAGTCTCGAAACTTTTAGCCCAGCGACAAACTGGAGTAATGTCGAGTTTACATTGTTTATTATTAATTGGACATTAAAAGTGGATATTTATCATTTAAACATATGTTTCGTTAATTATAAATATATTAAAAAAATATAAACAAATTCTTAATATTTATAAAATCAATTGTTGTGAATATAACAATTAAAAGTTCTAATAAAATAAAAAATCAAGCTTACCGAGTTTATTTTCTTTAAAATAAAAGGGATAAAAATAATATATATGAAATATCGATAAGATATGTCGTATTTAAAATATTTTCTCTTCTTTTTTCTTTATTCTGCATTATGTACTACTTTTTTCTTCACCTTCGTAATATACAGTAGCAATACTTTCGTAATTATGCCCATTATTCTATTTGTTTATTATAAAGCAACAGTGTACTCTAAGGTCGTGCTAAGGTTATGAGATTCCTTAGAAAGGAAAATACATACATAGCAATTACAAAAAAAAAGAAAAAAATCGTTATCGTTATCATTATTGTGCTAAAATATTTGTACTACTTTGATAACGAGAGATCTAACTAAAATATGCTGATAATAAAGCCTGTCGAAAGTCTGCTAAACTGGATATTAATTGCTGCTTCAGATTTGTAACGTTATAAGAATCATTATACTGATGCGTTGTATAATTACAATAAAAAATTATTTATTAAATGGTGCTTCTTTTCATAATCGTCTTTCCTTTATTTATTTTTTTGTATTTTGTCTTTCAGGTAAGTAATTAAATTTGCTAACATCTTGTTTATATAAAACATTGCTTTATTCAGCGATACATGTGTTAACAAATCAAGCATCTTCTCGGACAATATGTTTTTGCCTTTCCGATACAAAAGGTACGGCTCCTTTTTTGGAATGCATACGTCGATTTGTTTGCCTGTAAATTAATGAAGTAAATGTAATATTTTTATTTAATGAAGTTTTTCTGTATAAAACATACACTACACTATGTTTAAGTTTATACTTGGTTACTTAATACATGATAGATATTATAATTGTCAATAAAATTCCAAAACTAATTAAATAAAAATTTTTAATAATTATTTATGTAATAAAGAAGTAATAATGTAATCCAAGCTTTTACATACTTTCGGTTTGATTTTTCACGTATTCTGCGTATCTCACTTTGCGCATTATAAATGTGCTTTGGAATTTGTCTGTGTCGTGCGATCCTTTGCACTTGTGGATGACTTGCGAATTTTTCCTTCAGTGCTTCACTATACTTAAGTGCCGCCTTCTCTCTAGGTTTTAGCTTTAAATCATATTATTTATTAAAATTTTTGTTCCCATCATTATTATTAAATTATTTTATTAGAAAATAAAGTTAAAAATTATCACGTCGATGCATCAATAATATAAAACTCAAACAATGTTTCTCAATGTCACGCTATACAAAATTGACAAACATTAAAACGTCAGTTTACATTCTTTAACATAATGATTAAATTATTTACTAATAATTATAATAGTTATGTAATTGAGTAAGTAATTCATTTTTGTTCAATTATAAATTTCGCAAGATAACGAACACTTTAATCTGATTTTAAAATATCAAAGTGAACTTCATTAACAATTGCCTTGAAATATAATTATTTATATATTTTCAAATAATTCTTTTTACTAAGACTGCTTTTAGTATGTAAGAACATAAATTTTTCCTCTTTATTGTATCGTCAATTACTTTTAAATATATTTCAACAGTTTTTTTTAAATTAATATTTTATAAATTGATCTATTAAAAATAATTAAACATTATTTCTTACCACTCCCAATTTTTCCGATGCCCTAGCTTTCCAAACTCGAATATTCATTTCATCGCTACCACTAAGAATATATTTATTATCCAGGGACCATATTATACTTGTAAGCCTTTGCATACGTTTAGTGTGGTAAACTTCTTTCGAGTGACCTTTATTAGTTTGGAAAATTCGAATTGATTTGTCATAACTACCAGACACAAATTCCTTACCGGTAGGACTGTAATCTACATCTGTTACGGCTTCGACATGATCCATATGTACATTAACTGGAGTTGATAATTTACGTGTATCAAAGGTATATAAACTGTGATAAATAAATTAATTAGTGTCTGAATATTATTTGCTTTAATGAAGTAAAAAAGAAAAATGGTTACTTGTAATCTTCATTAGCACACGTAAAAGTAAATGCTTCCATTGGATTCCAAGAAAGCCTGTTGGTGCGAAGTTTCATAACAATTCGTCGCAAGGGACCAGTTTCGCGTGTATCGTATAAAATTATGCTGCGATCACTTGCACATGCAGCTAAAATATAAAGTTTAATATTTCTTATTTGATAATTATTCTTATTGAAAATAATACATTAATCTATTAATAATAATAATAATAGTATATGAGATGACGTTTTTCAATTTACCAAGTAAATTAGTTTGAACATAATTATATTTAACATCGTGTAAACTATCGACACCCCATTTGAAAGTACGTATTGGTTCATTCCTTGTTTCTTCCCATAACTGGCATACTTCTCCACAAGTAGCAAAGAAAGCATCGGATCGATGATGGGTAATGCCAGTTAAAATAGTCTGTAATAAATTTCAATTAAAAATCATACATATATATATATATATAATACTTTCAATTTAAAATTTTATATTGAAATAATCATTAAATTACAAATATTAACTTTAAAATATACTAGCTATCGATGTTAACCAAAAGCACAATTTATATCTATAAGTATTATCGAGTCGATATTAATTTTTTATTCCATATTAGAAAATGTTGTACATACTTTGCTAATAATAGTATTCGTTGGCACTGCCTCTTCATTATTATCAGATTTTCGTGCTCTCCAGGTTTTAATAGTTTTATCATCACCAATTGTAATAAAATGCTCTGCACCCGATAAAAATGCGATTCCTCTTAGGACTCCATCGTGCGCAAGGAAGTTATATTCGCAAGTTCTCTGAGGTAAATTCCAAATTCTTACTTCGCCATCATAAGCACCACTTAATAGTACCTGCAGTTTTCCTGGATGCTTGCACATACAAGAAACAGCATCTTTATGCCCTTCTAAGTTGCCAACAAACGGTTTGGCAAACACTCTATCTAACTTTACAGCATTTAGAGCTCTTGTATATTCTCTCGGGGCCTCAAAAGGATGCAGTATGGGATCATAATTTCGTGGAACTAAAATTATTTTATAAAATGACGTTAATCAACAATTAGTGTATTAATAAATGTATATTTTAAAATTTTAATCGATAACAGTTTACTTATATTGCAATAAGTATTGAGCGTAATATTATTTATTAATAATATGCATTGTATTGCGTTACTTAATTATTGGAGGTTATGCAACAATGATGATTTTTCGATACCTTTGTGAATATCCCGTTTGGTTTCACGTAAATATTCATCTGGATTTCTTGACAACACCTTCACCTTCATGTCGGTGAACTTATAACGAAGTAATTAATCAATTCAATATCATTATATAGAGTCCCTCCACGTGCATTGTGGAAGCATTTACGTACTATATTAGTCGCTACTAATAAATGTTACTGCAATAAATTACATTACAGGCGGCCAATCAATACGTATTTCAAAGATAATTTACGAACTCACGTTTTACAATCCTTTACCTAACGTAATTGCATCAACTATTATTAATCACTTAACCATCTATCTACTTCAATCACATTCCCCAAATATAACGTCGCATAACCGCATCTGCGAGTCCTACAATATTTCTCGCTATTTACTATCGAAATTAATCGAATTATGTCGACGTTACAGTATCGACCAATCGACATTTAACCTCCTCAATCGATTACAACTAGCCAGCTGACTTTAAGGGACAACTTCAGTTCCTACATTATAAATAATACTGCCCGCGTAAACTAACTTGATGTGACTAATTGGATGTTTGAATTTGGAAATTTCTACTTTATACGTCTGTATGCACTAACTGAACAATATGAAGATAACGATGTATCCTCGATATAATTTCTACATTATTGTTATAAATATACGTGCCTGAAAAGGTTTAAAATGATATTATACGTTGTGAAATGTAAGAATACATTCACGCATTCTCTCGTAGATTCTTTTGTACATACATATTTATTTATTCGCATGCACGAATTGTAAATTAATTTAATTAATTAGCACATATTGACATGAATTTATTTTATAAATACAACTAAAATTGTTATTCTACTTTAGTATTGCAATTACTTTGTAATTTTAGAAAACATTTTATAAATAATATACGTATATTTTTAAGATAACAAGACGCCGAATAAGAATTATTTCTACAATATTTATCAATTTAAGGTAAAATATTTAAAGATGATGAATTGAAAATAATATATTATTTAGAAAATAGATTTAAATATCCAGTAACGAACAAATAATATATGAAAACTACATTAACGATAAAATTAATTTTATTTTATATAATAATAATGATAATAATAATACAATGATACTTAGTAAAAACAATCGTTGTTAAATGATTATTATTCAAGAAGTTATGAATTGCAAAGCTAGGCGTTAAACAGTTAAATAAAAATTTCTTTGATATTTCTGCTTCTTGATTGCCGTAAAAAAACAATCGTTTTTTTTTTTTGTTTTGTTTTTTTTTTGTTTTAAGCAGGTACAATCGGATATTAAATTTTCTGCGTACGAAAATTGAGTGTTGAAGGATGATTAAAAGATTTTTTTATTTACATTCGCTTTTTATCAGTAGGCATTAGATACCGACTGCATATAGTAATTATTCATGTATGAGAAATTTCAATAACGTTGAGGTTAGAGAACGAATTAATTATAATTTTTTTTTTTTTGTTTGTTGACATTTAAAAACCATTTATATAATAAGTAATAAATGATATCCTTTTCGTAATTGCAGATTTATAGATATATATTTAATTGATATGTCAATACTGTTTAAATCACGATATTAACTCGAGTTTGAATTTATTCAATGAATATTATTTATATTTTTAATATAAGTTAAGTTATTTTTAATATAAGTCGTATTTTCAAAACAAAAGTCTGTAGCTCATTTAGTAAAATAGCGATAGAATTAATTAGAAAAATTTTAAATTCTAATAGTACTTCAAAAATATACGACCATACATTTCTTAATTGAAACTGAAAATTACATTAATCTAACGTCAAAAGTAATATTAATAATCCATGGATATTTTCAATTCATACTCTATGTTAATTGTAAGTTGACAGCATAGTCGCGCGGTGGTGAAAAATATTTATATTTGCCGAATCATTCGAAATAAGTGCTTATAAATGGAATATTTTTGTATTAAATGCCTATTGTAGTTAATTGTCTGCTTAAGACTAGATGTTGAAATATTTTCAAATGACTTTCGTATCGGATGACCGACAGTCAATTCGGTTGATCTATATTAAATGATTCATTCTTATCGATACACCTCTTTATCTAATATCGAGCATCGTCATTTTTTCGCACAATAGTACTTCTGTGATTTTTCAATAAATTAACATTTTGAAAATGTCTTTATAACCCATAACCCTAGCATAACTTGTTCAGGATCCAATACAACTTGAGTATGGTAAATTGGATCCCTAGTCTGTAAAATAGCGATCGGTGTGCAATTTTACTGCAAGTTTAACGGTTTAACGTACTACTTTGTCCATAGTAATAGAATACATCAGGTCCATCCCATGATACAACGTACTTTAAAAGAAGTTTCATCAATGAAAAGTACGTTGTTATGTTGTCGATCGATATTATTGCGCGTTCAAGCATGACGCATTTTCACGTTCTCTTTAGTTAATAAAGATTTCTTCACTGTGCTTCGTTGATTTAAATTATTTGCATAGCGAGGGTTAGCATAGAACTAGATGTTTTCACTGATAATATTAAAACGTTTCTCTTTCAATTTACTCGCCTTATATGCAGTATGAGCCAAGGATACTAAAAAATATTGTCTACTATTTTTTTTTTTTTTTTTTTTTTTTTTTTTTTTTAAATATCTTAGGCTTTTTTCGTTTCTTTTTTTGTCTTAGCGAAATCTCCTAACGCTTCGATGAATTAACAATCGACAATTGTCCACAAAATATTCTAATCTTTCTATTTTAAATTGCGTCCAAGCACGGTTTCCAAGTGAAACATGTTGACAATATCTATGACAGTTACGTTTTTCTTTTTTCTTTTTCTTGTTTTTTTTTCTTTTTCTTTTGCTTTAATAGAAATTTAACAAACGAAGCTTTTTTTGTAATACATTGTAAAACAGTGGTAAGACGGTATTTACTAGTTTTCATAAGATATCGAGGATTGTTTTTATATAGCACGAATTTTTTTTAGCAGCTTATTTTAAACAAAATACAGTTTAGGGTAGTGTAAATAGATGTATATATAAATTTGCAAAAATGTGTAATAATCCATCGAAAAATAAAATACCATATTGAGATTATTTTTATACTTTATAAAATAAAGACTATTTTAAAGATAAGAGTATGGCAGTAGTAAGTTGATAGAAATCTAATACATGTAATATAAACTATTGAGTCAGATTAGGCTTGGTATATTAAAGTAGAAATAAATATCAATCACTTATTTAATTTATATTACTATTAAAAGTAATAAAAAATATTAATTTTAGAATTTAAAACATTTGTACTATATGAATTTAATTGCAATAAGTGTAAGAATTATTCACAAATGTATAAACGTAAGACATATTTTAATGACATTATTATACAATATTTTTATTCGTCTTCATAAAATCATAACAATAAATATTAAAATATAATGCTAATAGTAATGATATGTTTATATAATCATAAATATTTAAGAGCTTTTTACCATAAAACGATAAATGGATAATGGATTTGTAAAGAAAATAGAAAACACAAACATTAAATTACTGTTTTCACATTAATAAATTAATTATGACCATTGTTGAAACTAGCATATTATGATACACATAATTTCTAGTTATATACACATTTTTACTAAAATCATTACATTTCTTTAATTTTCCTGTACTTTTCAATGTAATATTTGTCGTGGAATCATTAATTTTCTTATCTTAAATTTGTTCTTATTCAACTCTAAAATAATGATTATTTATGTTAAAGATTGTCCGTTACTTTGTTTACAAATGCATTTCTGAAATATGCCGACGATTAATTTAATCGAAATATCATCTTCCACCACATCCAGGTAAAAGCTTTTAATGCAAAGCATATCAAAGAATTGCGTGTAAATAGCATAAATAATACACAGATAATTGTAAATTTATTCAAATTTGCGACAAAAAAAAAAAAAAAAGAAGAAATAAAATAAAACGAATTAATTAGCTGAATATTAAAATGCAAAATTTAAAAATCTCTTGCTCACAACGACATTCGCGAATTTTCGCCATATAAATGGCAACACATTAAAAGGTGACACGTTATCGTGGCATTTTTCGTATATTCCGAAAATAGGAGGCGTAAATTTTTATTTATAAAATTTGTCATACTCCTTTCTAGATAGACAACAAGCAAAGCACAGACACGCATATGTACACATATGCGAAGAATTCTGATAAGATAACACGATGTTCTTAACTAGATTCACTTAAGGTGTCCGTATCATTACCTGTTCTAAAATACATCGTTGCGTATCACGAGAGGAGAAAATGCCAGGTAATGTACGAGTACATAGCTTCATCTTTATTATAATCATGTCAGTGTATCCATACATTAGCGGTTTCTCTTCTTTAATTTGAAAACTTTAAATTCGCATGCTTTCACGTAGAGAGTGCCGACAAGTCAATTATAATATCGTGTCTCACTATTGATAATATCAGTTTATTTGTATTTTATATATATCATAATTTCTGATGTAATAAGAATTCGATTAACATGATTATCATGAAACTGAAGTTATGGTACATTTGCATCATTTCATCCTTTATGTATAAAGATTTTATTAACATTTTATATCACGGGGAATTTTTAATAATCGAACGAATTAATTTGTTAATTTAATAAAAGGAATCGATAAGCGGTCACTTTTATTAGCCAAATAATTCTTTATTCTTACAATAATTACTGCGGTACTATAAAATTATCTTGATTAACTGAATTTCGACTAAGAATCTATATTGTGAATTTTAACTACCTAACTTCTTAAATGTCATTGATAAGTATTTATGTTTTTTGTTTTATTTTTTAGATACACAATTCGGTACAAATGTATTTTTTTTTTTTTTTTACGTATTACTCATTTTTAATCGAATGGAAATCTTATCTGTAAATTTTTTTAACGAATCAATTTTATTCTCGTTATGCTCATTTCATTTTCTAGAACAAAATATAGATTTTATTGCATTACTTTACTCTAGCATTAATTGATAGAACTTTGGAAAAGCTTTTCTACAGATAAACCAAAATTTTTTTAAATATAATGCTAATTCTCGAACGTAAACAAAACTTAAAGTAATTATGAAAATGTAATTTTAAATTTTATCCATAATAAGGATCAGTTCAAATATTGCTAACGATTATGATAATAATTAGGATTATTGAATACTTATTAACAAAAGAATGAAAAGTTAGAATGTAATTGAATTTTGAAAGAAAAAGCTGCCTATAAATTGTCAGAAGTTAATTAAAGCCGAGCAAGTTTAAATAAATTAGATCACATCCATATGCGTTGAAAGATTTTAATATCATAATATATATTTCTAAAAATAACAATTTATCGTTCGTAATTAAATAATAATATATAAATTAAGGTGACACTTTCTTTTATGGTTAAATTTAATTCTACTTTCACTTTCTTCTCGTCATCATATGTAGAGATATTGAATTCAAAAATAATGTATAAGATTTCTAATTCGAGGAAGATACTTACTTAGTTTCCTATACGAATAAAAAAAATTATAAAGTATAAAAAATAAAATAGTTGATTTCTATGAAAAGTCTTTGGTATTCTAGTAGGGTTAAGAAAAGTAAAATTGCCACTGATTTAATCAGTAAATCAATGCTTCTTTGATGCTCGAGCAATTATAACGGTATTTTACTCGATTTTTTTTTTTGTTTTTTAAGAAAAAGAGAATCGAACATTTTCAATTATCTATTTGCTTCTTTTTTCATTTTTTTTATTCGTTTTTTTTTTTATCAATTATATTCTACTGCAACTATTGTTATATTTAATTGTGAAAATTATTTCCAATCATTATTGCAACTACAGATAATCCACCATTTGTGCAACTATTTCTTCACCATCTATACGCTATTTATTTCACGTGTGCAAATTTATTAAAAAAAAAAATTTTCACATATTCTGGCAATTGAAATTTATAAAATTTTGAATATGCCCATAATTTCGCTCTACGCGTAACTAAAGATACGAATTTTCAAATGACGTCCTGAGCCGGAGGATTTTATTGCAATTTGTCATGTCGTTGGCAACCAATGTACGAAATTCGCGAACAGCTACAATTTACATTTATTTCGTAGTTCGCGCTAACGTCCATCCCTTAGGCAGCGTCATTATGACGAGGTAGCGAGTGATCCCGGGGGTCTCCCTTAACAAAGATAAAACTAGATCGGGGCCATGGGGTCGTGCTGCACGTCGCTCTCATCCGAGTCGACACTAAATTCTGGCATAATATCTCACGAAACAGCATACAAATGGTTGACGAGAAGCTCGGACGAGCCCTTTCCCGAGACGGCCGTCACCGGTGGCCGAGACATCGACGGTGCCACGATCTACGTCGGCCGCGCCTACCATGATGGCGACATGATACCGGCCAAGGTCATACCCGAGAGGAACGTCGCTTACGTGGCGCACGGCGGCCAAGAGCACGCCAAACGCAACTTCGAGGTAGTCTCTCATTTTATTTTCTTGCTTGTGCGCTGCAGCTCGTGTCTCACTTTCCTTGTCCAATTCGGCTTTTCTATAGACTATTGATTAGCAATGGATTGCTGAAATAGAGAAATAGAGGCTGAAATTCAGCCGTACACGCGTAATACCTATGCGCAAGAAAATGAAATTTCATTGCTTTCGATTTTAATATAGGACGAGGAGTCATGGGATTTGAATTTTCCACGTATTTTTATGATTTTCTTCTGTTTTTTTCGCTGTATCGGATAATGATAATGATAATCAGTTACATTTTTATATTATACCTAAATCACTAGTTTTCAATGATAAATTTCAATTATCTTTTTAAGCACAAGAGATAATTTGTATTTTTTGTTTTTTGTTTTTGTTTTTTGTTTTTGTTTTTTTCAACCAGAAATTTATTAGTAGATTTGTATTGTCACTTGTTTAGGATAGGATAGTATATAGTGGTAACAAGATATTGTAACAACATAATAATTCGTACAACAATATATAATTTCGCTTGACTGATGATTATATATTTGCATTTATGCATAATACCTTATTGTTATATCTAACATAGAATTCTCTTAATATTCTACGAATATTCATGAAATTACTAAATTAGAGACTAAATCGCTTATGGCTAATAAGAATTATATAACACGATAATAATCAGCAAGATAACAATAGACATTTAACTATTAAAAAATTTTAATTATAAACATACAATAATTATATATATATATATATATATATATATATATATATATATATATATATATATATATATATATATTGAGTATCGATCTTTAATGCGCTTAGATTTAATTAAAATTCAATTTCTCAATATTGATTATTTAAATATTATTATAATTTTATTTTCAGCGCGTCCGTCAATTGACCATCAATGTATAAATATCTTTATAACGAATGAATAATAATTTCTTAATACACGATATTATCATTAAAGCTTTATTCCTAAAGAAAAACAATTATTTTCTAATCATTATTAAGAAATATCCTAATATTTCTTATTAATATTTGTACACATTTAGTCTATTAAGACATTTGAAATTAATCAATTTAATTATTATGGTATAATAATGATTCAAACATAATGTATGATATTACAAAATTACATATATTTTTAATTATTTTCTCTAATCTTTAGTATCCTATACATAATATATTTCTATAAACAAGTCTAGAAAATACATAATCATAACTTAGGTATTATTTTTATATAACCTTCTGTAATTTCCATGTGTATTTTGTGAAAATGCAAGACTATTTAAGGAGTTTCACAAATTAAGTGAGTCAGGGCTGAGTATCTCAGTTTAGTTCGAGGCAAACTTTGCTCATATAATGAATACTAACGTAATCGAATTTTTTTTCGATTCCTTTGATCTTATTTGCAAATGCACGCATTAGTAAGAACATCAATCAATTATATATAAGAGTTTGTCATTTTTATATATTTTCAGGTTTATTTAGGAAATACTTTAATAAATAATATGATCGCCATGGACAATCAGACAAGTACGCCATAAAAATTTTGTTTTTTAATTTTATAGAAGTGGTTCAGTAAAGTGAAGGAAAAATCTCTTTTACAGGTACGAAAGCAGTAAAAGTATAAGTTTACAGTCTATTGATTTATTCGTGGTTAATAATATAAAATTTACATTATTATACTATAAATTTTACTTTATTATAAAATTTGTAAAAAAATATTTAAAATATACACGAAATAAATACAATTTTTTATATCCATAATATATTTTTATTTTAATTTCAAGAAAAGTAACGGGTTGAAATTTCTGACTTTTATTTGATAATTAATTTCCAATCATATATTAATGCCATTCAATAAAATGATAAATTTATTAAAGATTAAAATTTTTTTTTAAGAATAATATCATAATGTAATATGCATTTTCGTGATAAAAGATAATTTAACCGTAAATTGAGTCAATATTATTACAATATTTTTTATTGACTATAATTTATTGTTTAATATATAACAATATTTTTTAACAGAGTAACAGAAATAGAAATAGTAGTTAAAGTATTTATATGCCGCAAATAATACGTGTTCTTATATTATTTACCGCTTCATTGAAGAACCCCAAATATTTGAAAATGTTCATATAAATATTTCTATATAGAAAATCAATCACAGTTAATTGACATATTAATAGTGTTGTTAATAAGTTTATAGGTATTTTTAGTTTTTATATCAAAGATTTATTTTTGATGTTTCTAGAAAGTTGTACATAACTTAAATACAAATATACGCAAATTTATTTTAATTTTATAATTCAAAATAGATGTTTTTTTAAGAGACTAATTTACTACCTCGTATTTTATGATATATTTTTTTTTTTTTAAATTAAAAAAAAAAAAAAAAAAAAAAAAAATTAAAATAAACATTTTCATTACAACTATTAAATATTCACTAATTCAAAGAAATGAATCGACTGTTTCTTTAGATACTTGTTAATTTATTTAAAATGAATATTCATTTATTAGAAGTTTATAAAAAGTCAGAGATAAAATGTTTAATCAAATATATAAAATATATGCTTTTGTGTAATATTTAAAAAAAAATTCTCACTTAAAATCTGATGTTAACTATTTTCTTTAAAGATAACGTTTATCTCTCCGAGGAAAGTGAGTTTTTCAAAGTATTTTAAATTTTATTTATAAAAAATAAGAATATAATATTTATTATATTGTATTAATTATAATCCATAGTATATATAATATATCACTAACCAATTCCAATCAGCTATATATAAGTAATGCGTGCAATATAATAATATAATACACTATATAATATAAATATAATTTTAAATATAATAAAATTTTTGTTTTGTTTATGTTTATAGAAAATATGAGTGATATACATATTTTTGTTGACATTTAATATAAAAATAGTTTACTTAATAAAGTATTTAGTAATGTATATGTATTTAAACATTATAATAAGAAAATGTCGTTCTTGCTACGTAGAAATATAACTACTTAATATAGAAGCAAAGTATAATATTAAAAAAATATATTTGCCCACCCGTACGTGAATATATGAAGTATATAATTATATTAAAGCTTTTATTGCTTATTTGATACACCAAGATTACATATTTAATATTCTAAAATAATAAATATCTAAATAATAATAAATGCTATTAATGTTTGTAAATGGGCGTATAAAATATTTATTTTAATTTCGTTTATTAATATTAATAATAAGTTTTATAAAGGTTTTGTTCTTGAATTACTTAAATACTTAAAAAGCTTAGCATATAATGAGAGAATGTAGATATTTTAGAACAAATAATTTAGGAAATATTTATTATTTAAATGCTTTATATTAAAGTATCGATATTTATGATGAAACATAAAAATGCGATATCGTGTTTCAATATGCACACATACATGCATGCATACACACACACACACATATATATATATGTGTGTGTGTGTGTGTGTGTGTGTGTGTGTGTGTGTGTTTGCGTGTGTGCGCCTGTCTGTAACTACAACTGTAAATTTGAGCGATCACGTGATACAATAATTCAGGTATCCAACAATGATGAGTTTATGATCCAAGTCAGCATTCTCGTTGCTGCACATCAATTCTCTCCACCAATCGACTTCGGCCACGACAAAACAATCGAGCAATTGGGCAATCACGTAAACAAAAAGAGAAAGGAAGCCTAACGAAGAAGATAAAAAGAAAGACAATTTTCAGGCCGACGTGGATAACATGACCCGAGTGGCATGCGCGCGAGGCGAAGCTCATTTAATCCTCGTACCATCCGGGCCGATAAAAATCAGTTGGTCTTTCCATGAAGTCGCGAGAAAACGCGCCTTGCTTGTTGTATGCTTACTTAACGGTAAAATGGTCGCCAGATCGCGCTGCTGATTTATCGGCTCTGGCCGTCGCTTCGCTCGCACCAAGTAATCTGCGAAAACTCGCGCGCCTCGCAACCTAATCAGTCTGTAATATCTTAATCGAGTAAACTGCAAAACAATCCGAGATCGATGCGCCCGATTAAGTTGTTGGGAAATTGATTTTTTACAAAACCGCTAGGTAAAAGAGACTCCCACTTTTTTGGGGCGCTGGGGGAGGGGGTGCGCGCTAAGCCCTTCTTTGTCGATCGCTGCCGATGACGAAATGTTAGTTTTTTGGTTTATTGATAGTAAAAGTCGATTACTTGCCAATTAGGACTCGCGTGTCACGTCACTTTTTGTAATGCGTCACTTTTTCTTCGATATTATTGTCCTCGCTTTATTATAAATATTTGTGACTTTAACAGTCATTTTAATTAATAATGGAGAATAAATTAATAAAAATAATATGGGGTTTGTTTGTTTGTTTTTTTTTTTTTATTTAATTTCTAAGTATTTATATAGAAGAAATTATTTGTATCCACTGTTTCAAATTTAAAAATAAAATTTCAATGCCTTATTACCTGATTAAATTTTCTTGCGTCTTTACATTAGTTAAAATCGATAGATTTTACATTCACTCAATATAAATTAGAATTACTTTCGATATTAATGAATAAAGGAAAAGTTCAATCTCTATATCGTGGTGTATCATTTTAGAGCTATCGTATCCTAGTTAATTTTAATTCTTCTTAGGTATAATTTTGTGCAAAAAATAACTCATAAGTATTGTTGTGTTCTTAGAAAGTTAGTTACCGCGAAATCTGAAATCAAATATTTGAAAATTTTAATGCAAACTTGGCAATTACTTTGATTTTATTCGCTCGAACATTATTTACGACTTATTGTGGCTTTGAAATATAATTTATTTTCACGCAAATATATATATATATATATATATATATATATAAACTAAATAATACATTTTTGCAATTGCTCGGCATAGCTTTAAAGATATCGATCAACATAAAATTTAATCACTAAAAGTATCGCGTATTTTTAGAGGAATTTTGTTCGTAATCGCTGTAAAAAAAAAGAAAAAAAATTTCTTTCAAATTCACAATAATCGATCACCGTAATGTTTAATACTTTATTAAATGTTAAACACAATGAAATAGCCAATAAGGATGTGCGCCAAAGGTCTCGGCAACGACAACTAACAGGGCGCAGCTCATGTTTTTCCAATGCTTTTCTCAGCGGCTTATGAATGCTGAAATCTTTTCACAGGTTCTCGTCCGCGGAGAATTCGGATGGGAATTCTGCAGTAACGGCTCGGTTCCCGCAGATGCGGTTGTCGCCGGTCACACAAGCGATGGAGAACCACTGTACGTCGGACGTGTACTTCACAATGGCTCTCAAACCGTTGGCAAGGTACATTTAGCATTCAATTTCATGAAAAGTATTTGTTACCACATACCTAGGAATTTTAATCTTTACGTCCACTGTCATTTAAATAAAGTAAAGACTTAAATGTTTCAATTCCTTCATACATATTATAATTGATGCCGCCTGGTTTACCAATTTACCCTCGATACTTGTACTTGTACGCACTGCCTTGATTATACCGCATTAAATGAAAATGTAAATGTGATAATCGCAGCTGGTAAATGGTTCGATCAAAGATCTCTATTTCGATCCATAAGCACGCAATTCAAATTTGACGCTCACCCGATTCTCATTCAAATAGCTAATAATATATTAAGCTTAATTGCATCTCTCGTTTATAACAAGCTGCAATTTAGAGATCTTTTTTTTTTCTTCTTAACTCAGATATTTTATAATTATTCTTTATAAAATTTGTTGCGAATAATATTGCACTGTTAACTATTGTTTAGAGTTTTGATTTACGCCGAGAGCTGATAAATTTCTAACGCGTAAGCAAATCCAAATGAAAAATTGCACTGTTGTAGAAGATTAATTGTTAACCGTTCGATTCATACTTGAAAAATATCATGGAAATATTAACTTGCATTTTAAATCATCCAGACGACAAGAAATTTTTTTATACTTAAATCTGTAAAATTATAATTGAATTCTAAGTGGACGTACTCTAAGATATCTGATAAGCTTTACAAGTTATGTTTTTAAATTGTGGCTCGAATTCTAATCAATGATATAATTTTCTTTTTTATTTTTCATAGAAAAATTCAAAGATAAAAAATTGTTCTAAGAAATAGCAATTTGATATTAATAAGTCCATTTTTTTTTTGGAATAATATTGCATGTGTAAATTATTATATACACATTTTTTTATGAACAATTAATAATTTTATGAATTCTGTTAGGGTTCGAGTATCAATAATAATTTAATAGTAAAACAATGGCAGTTATTTGGAATAGATAAATATAATGCAGGTAGATTGTGACTGTCGGATATGAGAGATAAAAGTACATTATCATTGAATTGTTGTAACAGTGTAATTATTGAATAGATCTTTGTGGATGTCATAAACAATGATGATATTCTATTGAAAAAATATGAACAATAAAAAAATAATGTATATATATATATATATATATATATACTAATATTATTCTAAGATTGCGATTACTAATACGCGCACTCACAAGTATTCTTCAAACAATTGTTACATTAACTTGGTGGAATTGAGCGACATTACAGGCCATTTTAATAATGATGACCGCACTCGAATTTCAATACGACAATGAGAAGAAATTAAGCGATTGAAAATACTGCAAGAATAACATTGTCATTATTGTCATTACAGGTACAACAAAGCCATGGTTGCCTCTACATTCCCTTTGACGGCGAGGAGTTGTCTTTTAAAGATTACGAGGTTCTCGTTATGCATTGATCATCGAACGAGCGCGCGCGCCACATACACAGGCGCGCACACACACACACACACACACACACACACACATTCCTAAGTTTATAAAGGTTGCGCGGAAAATCGGCAATTCTTATTTAACACGTATAAGCAATCTTAAGAGAATGTTACGATAATATATTTTTTTAATGAGATATTCATTTTCGAAAAATAAATAAGCTTATTTTACATATTCGATAGTCGTCTCCTTTCATTTCACAATGTTCAATAATTATTTATGCAAATTATGTAAAATATTGTGACCTCAAAAAGAAGAAAATTAGTTATTACCTTATTAAGATTGAATTAATTATTGATGCAGCAACAATGATTACTCCGTATAGGCTGGAAAGCTTAATTTCTACTTTAAAATTGAGTGTTGATTGTAAATGAAGAGGTTTCATGAGATATTGATACCCATTTATTGTTAATAAATTCAAGTCTTTTTTTGTAGCATCAAAATTTATCCTCTTATTTATGAAATATAATTATCTGTAACATCCGGAAATTCCAAGTAATTATTTCAATTATCTTCTCAAAAATTTGTTATTCAAACATAATGTACGAAAAAAAATAAAAAACTGGTTTAAGGAGACAATTACAATAATTGCTTCAAATTTTGTTGGTTATAGATTATTATTATCTTCAGAACTGACATACGCGGAATCCAAAAACAATTTTAGGATCAGTAGAGAAACAGTAATTTATATAATTATATTTTTTAAATAAATGCAAGCAATAAAATAATTATTAAATATTGCATAAACTTAGTATTCTATAAAATGATGTAATCTTATTTTTAAGAAATATAAAAGAAGTTTCTGTTGAACTTAATCTATAATCTCAAGTGTATTTAATAATGCTCAAGTTTTTCTTTTAATGAAGATGGGAGCAGACAAGTGATTACGATTATTGTCAATTACATGTAAGTTTGCCGTGTAATTAGCAATATAAAGTAACATATATGTTTCAGCTAAATGAAAAAATATTTATTCATTTAAGGTAGTTCTTTAAAGTACGTATTTAAGCTTAAATCTTTGGACTTTTAGCTGAAAATTATTTGATAAAGTGTTTTATATGTATATCTTAAAAATTAATGTAAAATGTAAAAGATTAAATTAATATATTAATATTTGCAATACAATGTTTTTGTTGAAAAGAATATGACAATTAATAGCAAAGAAATTGTCATGGAAATAATTATACAAAAATTATAATAAATTATAAATAATAGGTATATATATAATAAATAAAATTTTAATATTCGTGAAAAATAATATGAAATTCAAGAAAATTTTAACTTACAAATATCATACAACTTTATAAATTTATAATTTTAATAATATTTACTGCATAATGTCTTGTTAGTATTAGTGCTATTTATCGAATAATAACGTTTGTCACAGCAATTTAATGAGAAAATTGTCCACTAACTATTCAAGAACTTTTGCAATAAATTTTTCAATCGATAATCAATTTCAGTATTCAACTAAAAATCTACTTTGCATAAATCAACTGCTTAAATTTATATAGAATATACGTATTTTAGAATTATGCCGAAACAAATGATGAATAGCTGCAGGCAGTTATTTATTTCAATTTACAAACTATTCTACAAATTTAAATACTATTATTAATCATTTGTATTTTGGAGGCATTTAAATAAATTTCAAATAACTAAATCGTATTCAGTTGTAAGAGAAATATTGTAATTATTAAGAAAAAATACACTTTATTTTTAGAATAAATATGCATAATAAATGGAAAATACTATTTTTAGTATATTAGAATTCATAGAACAACTATAATTTAATTAAAAAATATATTTATTCTAAATATATATATATATATATATATATATTTATTATGGAAATATATATATATATATATATATATATATATTTCCATAATTTGACTAAATAATTTGAAATGGTTAAAAATATATTTTTGTAACATTGTAATTGCAAATGAGTCAATATTTTTATCTTATTTATCTTTATTTAATTTATAATATTATTTTACTTTATTACAAAATTAAAAGTTTTACGTAATGAATAATTAATTGTTGATTAATAATTAATTTGTTAAAAAAATAAATAAATAAATAAATAAATAAATGTCCACAAAAAGCACGTAATAGAAAATTATTTTGCCTATGAAAACTTGTTACTTTATGTTTTAAATGATTAGAAGCATAAGCCATAATCCACACTTCATCCACCTGAGTAATTTACACGTACGTAAATCATTTTTAATATAAATATTTTTTATATAAAAAACAAGCAATAGAGTATATCAGATTATGTTAGGAAAAAATAAGCGTCTAATCAATTAATTTTAGTTTCAGCCTTGTGTAACGACATTTGCAATTGCATAACCATTTCGATTTAATTCCTGAAATAAGAATCGAAAGAACGCTTTTTATTTTGCGTGCTCCAAAGTGATTTGAATTTTCATTAATGATGTATGCATAAAACAAATTTAATAGCTACACTCTTGAGAGATCATGATTCACGTTTTAACGAAAATAACGTACGAGTATACATTATTCGATTGTAAATAATGAAGTCTGAACTCGTGAAAGCTTCACTTCAAGTGTACAATCAATTTTTCAAGTATACGTACGTGTATATACACGGAAAGAAAACAAAAAGAAAAAAAAAAGAAAAAGAAAAAGAAAGAATTAATACCAAACTCGTTTGAAGTCCAAAACGACGTTTTATATATACGCGCAAGCTTCCTCGGATCCCGCGACGCGGACTCGGCTCGCGCGTCGCGACTTTCACAATTTCTCCCTTTCATATTAGTCTGCTCAAAAAGAAAAAATTCCACCTCCGAGATAAGCTGCCGCTGCCGCCGCGGCAACCGTCGTCGTCATCGTTAACGTATTGCGAGCGATTCTAAAACGGCGATCAATCGCGTACCGTAAATTTCTCGCTGTAGATCTTGTATTTTATGGAGGTCTTTTTTTTTTTTTTTTTTTTTTTTTTTTGTTTTTTTTTCCAAAGAGTACCGACACGAAAGAATTGCAAGTGAAAGATGTGCTCGGCGATAATTTAAAGATATTTCGAAGGTAAAGGTGAAAGTAATTTTGCTGATTCGAAACAAGTCTTATCTTGCTGTGCGGTCATCCATTCTGAGACGTATTTTTTTGGGTTAATTATATACGTTATTCGAATATATTAAATGCGACGATAAAATTTGAAAATTGCACAACAAATTCAAAGGATCCTTAGCAGCCGATGAAGTAATTAAGAAATTCAAGAAGATATAACATGGAATTATATTTATTCGGCATATTTATGATAAATTTATTTCATATTAAATATGTTTTTCTTTCGATAAAATGAGGAAACAAGCATCTCTCCGGATGGACAAACCTTGTACTCTATGTATTTTAAATTCAATAAAAATGTATTTAGCCGACAAAGTTAAAACAAGGGGTATACATTGACATTGGATAATAATGTTTATGTTATATAGAAAATGTATTAATAATATGCTAAATGAGTATAGGCAGTGATATATTTATCTATAGTAATAAAATTATTAAACTCAATCTCGATAATAATTGTCATTCGTTAGAATTAGTAAATAGATCAATTATCTATAGACAACTCAATCTCAAAGAGAACTTTTTCCCTCTAATGTATTCAGAGACTTTGCATAATAGTAAAATAAAAAAACTATTTTACAGTTGATAACGGCGTTGTTGTCAGTGAAAAATGAAATGGACAATAGAATCAATACGCAATCTAAGATACTTCAATTTTAGTTAACAATAGTTTACTTACAAGTAAAATAAAGTTCTCGATAAGATCGCTAAAATTGTACCAAATAAAAATCAACCGAGATACTTATTGTATTATTTGTTATTATGTTTTTAAATAATAATCACCCAAGCATTTTCATTATATTGATATACAGTTCGTTCATATTATAATGTCTTTGCACCATAAAATCTCAAACAAAACGAGAGAGACAGAACGAAAATGAATTCTCACTTATATCTTTAAAGCTGAGAGGGAGAATTTTCCAATTTGCAAATGAAAAGATTTTTCATTATGAATAAAAGGATAATTTACGATCTATCTTATTTACTACCTGGACGGTACCTTGACACACTAGTCCACTGAAAGTAGGAAAAAAAACAATAAACTATCAATATAGATTGCACAACCGAGAACAACGACGTGGGAGAGAGGATAGGAGAGAGAGAGAGAGAGAGAGAGAGAGAGAGAGAGAGAGAGAGAGAGAAATGGAGAGTTAAGCGAACGGAATTAGTAATAAATTGGCGGATCTATGAGGCCGCGTGTAGCCCGTGAAAAAACCGTAAGAGCGGCAGTGGAGCGCGTCAGAACATCAAGAGTGAAAGCGCGCGGCGGTTGATACGATAAACTGTATTATATGTGCACACGATGTCTTGCAAGAACTCGTCCGACAGTTTCGACAATCGAAGCGGCAAAAGTCGCGTACGGTGATCGAGCCCCGCTGGGTCGCTTGGTCGACAATTCGATGATTGGCAGAGGGGAGTGGCGAAAGAAGTGGGCGGCTTGATTGAATGGTGGTTGTGGTGGTGGTTGGGGGTGGGGTGGGGTGGGGATGGCGATGGAAAAACGATCACACGTTGTCCTCGAGTTGGGTGAAATCCTCGTCGGATAATCGGGACTGGTTTATTTTGTGCTCTATAGACGATTAGCAAGGTCGGGCTGAGGTGCTCTCTGTTGTTTTCTGTCTCCAGTCGTTTGCAAGACGCCTGAGTCGTTGTAGCGGCGCATTTTTATTGGTAACAGTTGGTAAAAGCTTTGTAAGGCTGCGATTTCGGCCGATAAAATTACGATAAAGAAAAAACTTTTGCGAGTAGAGATCTATGATATACATTCACCTTTCTCCATATTATTAACAATACTTTTTAAAATCAGTGACTTCGTCCTTTAATTCGATTATTTCATTATAAGCACTTAGTTATAGAGTGCAATTATTCCAGTAGTATTAAAAACTTTTGTGAATTTTCACTTTCA